AAAAAAAAAAAAAAAAAAAGAAAGAAGTAAAACAACTTGTTACTGCCTCAAACTTGCTCTGCAACCTGTAACCATCGTTCCTGTTCAGCCTTACAAAAACTTCCCCCTGGACATTGGGTTTCTCAAAACCCCCACCCCTGTAACTACGTAATCCATTGCACCGTCCTTTTTGACTGCAACCGATACTCCCCACCCTTATGATCATGCCTGTTTGTAATAAATGACCCTACCCTTGTGATCATGCATCCTGTGATGCCGATCCCCTCCCCAAGATAAATTTCCAACCCCTACTCTTGTAATCATGCATTTTGTGATGTCCTCCCCCACCCCAAGAGAGATTTCCACCTTTAGCTGAGCATTTGCCCCAACCTATATAACCAATTCCCTCTCCTACCCCCTTTGCCTACCCGTTTCTTGGACTTGGCCCCCTTGCACCCAAGCGCAAAATAAACGACCTTGTTGCCCCCACAAAGCCTGCCTGGTGGTCTCTTTACGTGAGCGACACGTGTGACAAAACCCGCAACTCGAGTCAGGATTTTCCCTTGACGACCCTTTGGTCGTCCCTGCACAATCTAGGAGAGACCTGGCGCTGAGGGTGCAGAGCTGCCCGGAGAGGGCCTCAGGCCAGGGCACAGTTACTACACAGGCAAGAGACAGAACGCCCTGGCCAGCTGTCAGTGCAGCTGCCGTCTTATAGCTGAAGGGACTGAGGCCCAGTTGGGCAAAGAGAACTGAGGCGCACTTTGTGGGGCTGACTGCGGGGAGGCCTGAGTCCTGCCACAGCCACTTCCCGCCGGTTCCAACTAGCCCATTCCCGCTCTCTTGGGATATCGGACCCGGTACTCTCACCATTTCTAGGCTTCCGGGAGGTCCTGGCGTTTTAGCTGTGGTTCTCCCAATACCTGCAGGTCACAGGGCCATAGAACTGGGCCTCCTGGAACAGAGGACACAGAGCGTGGAAGACGAGACCCGGAGCTCCCGCCGCAGCCAGAGACAAAGGCCCCGCCAAACCCGGAAGCCGCCGTGTCCGCTCCAGCTGCATGTCTGATTGGAAGGTTTCCAGCCCGGCGTCCCTGATTGGAAGACGTTTAAAGCCCCGCCCCTTCAGGCCCTGAATGACAGGTGATGTGTTTGGACGTCGGACTGAAAGAAGAGGCAGTAACAGCCTCAGCTGCAGCGTTTTCATGGAGCGCTTCCTCCCTGAGCGGAGCCAGGCCCACCCCAGATGGTATTTGCATTTAACCTTGTGCATAAGGTCTCATGCGTTTATACATAATACATTATATGGCCGGGCACGGTGTGTCATGCCTGTAGTCCCAGCTACTTGGGAGGCTGAGGCAGGAGAATCGCTTGAATCTGGGATGTGGAGGTTGCAGTGAGTCAAGATAGCACCTCTGCACTCCAGCTGGGTGACAGAGTGAGACTCTGTCTCAAAAAAACAAAACAAAACAAAAAAATAAAAGAAAAAAAATTATATGATATTCACAAACAAAAATAGTAACAATTATTTTAAAATTTCAGCTTTTATGACCTTCCTGGCTTCTTTTTTTTCATCAGGCTGAGATTTGAAGGAGGCACTCTTCTGAAATACAATGTGAGCCAAATGTGAATTTTAAATTTTCTTTTCTTTTTTTTTTTTTTAAGATGGGGTTTCACCATGATGGCCAGGCTGGTCTTGAACTCCTGACCTCAGGTGATCCACCCACCTCGGCCTCCCAAAGTGCTAGGATTACAGGTGTGAGTCACTGTGCCCAGCAAATTTTAAATTTTCTAGTAGTCAAACTTTAAAAAGAAAGAAGAGCGAGACTCCCTCTCAAAAACAAAAATTTTAAAAAATTTAAAAATTAAAATTGAAAGAAGAAACAGGTCAAACTGATTGTAACAATTTAAGTAACCCAATATATCCAAAATATTATATGAGCAATGTGTAATTATTAATATAGCATGTATATATTTGGAACTATATCTTTGAAACTAAGTCTGTATTTTGCCTTTCTAGCACATCACAGTGTAGCCCCAGCCACATTCCAGGCACTCAGAAGTCACACATGACCAGTAGCTGCCACACTGAAGTGGGGCAGTGAAGGGGCTGAAGAAATTTATTCTGCCAGTGTGAAGGAAGGGCCTCTTCCTAATGACGTCTCCCTTCAGTTTTGAGGATGGAAAAGATAGTGGCCAAAGAAAGAGCAGAGGGCAGCGGGAATAAAATAATCACACGTAGACAACTGCTGGCCACCTGTGGCCCACCTTCCTTCCAGAGATCAGACAGTGAACAAAAGACGATAGGGCCAAAGGAGATGAAAACTCTAAGTCTTCACATCTGTACACACTCTTGACCAACAATGTTTATATATGGAGAAAATAGATTAAATACAAACATATTTTGCTATTTGGTCTCAAACATAATCATCAGGCCTCCCAGATTCAAGCGATTCTTGTGCCTCAGCCTCCAGAGTAGCTGGGATTACAGGTATGTAGCACCATGCTCAGCTAATTTTTTTTTTGTTGTATTTTTAATAGAGTTGGGGTTTTGCCATGTATGCCAGGCTGTTCTTGAACTCCTGGCCTCAAGTGACCCACCTACCTCAGGCTCCCAAACTGCTGTAATTACAGTCATAAGCCACTGTGCCTGGCTATGATATATTTTTACATTTGTGGTTTAGACGTGTTTTTCTTTGCCCAGCCCCTGCCAAAATGTGGGATGATGACATACTCCTGGACCTAGCACCTAGGTAATTCTGACACTTGTATTTTGCATAGGTCCCACATATTTTGAGTACTGTGACATATCACTAGACCAAACACCTGGAAGATGGGAGGTACCTGTCTATGCCCTGTAAACAGGGCGTGAGCCTACCATTCTCAGGAGCCTCATGACATCTCTCTGCATTCGTCACCTAGGAGATGTGACTCTCCTCTGCTGCCTGCATGCTGCCCACAGGAAAGATTGTGGTATAACATTTGGCTCAGCAGCAGGGTGATGTGTTTTCTTTTCCTGGATCTTGCTCACAGGGAGCATTGTGGCATGTCACTGGGCACAGCACTCATGTTCTGGGTGGTTCCCTGGCCAAGAACCCAGGTGAGGGGACTCTTCTTTCTGGTTTCTGCTATGAAAAAAGATTGCGACATATCTCTGGTCTAGCACCAAAATGATGTAACTGTCTTGCTCACTCTCTATGCACAGGTGGGACTGTAAAGTATATTTTTGTTCAGCTCATAGGTGAGATAATAACTCTCATACCTCAAATCAACAAAATGTGCGGGCAGGACAGTCACATCACCTGAGTACTCAGCCAGTGATATGTTACAATTTCCTTCTAAAAGCAGGGTACAGTCGGCATAGTCATATCACCTAGTTTCTGGAACCAGCAATATCTCACAGTGCTTTCTGGGGGGCAATGCCCAGGCTGGAGAGACACATGACCCAGTTGTTGGACCCAGAGTTATGTCACAATCTTCCCTGAAGGCAGGGTGCAGGCAGAGGAGAGACATATCCCCCGGGTGATAGATGCAGGGAAATACCAAAAAGCCCTCTGTAAGCAGGTCCAAGGCAAAAGTCTCTCATCTCTTAGGTTTTGGACCCAGCAATATGTCACAATAACAAAATTATGCAAGGCCCAAGTAAAAGAAGAGAATTACATCATTATGTGCTTGGTCCCGTGATAAGTCAGTATCCTTCTTTTTGTCAGGACCCAGAAGGAAGGCATGAGTCACATCACCTAGGTAACTAACATGACGTGATAATGCCCCAGTGGGCAGGGCCCATACAGGAGACTCACATGACCTAGACATTGCACCCAGCCATGCCACAATAGCAATGTATGTACAGCCCAGGGAGGAGAGGGACATCACATAACCTGGGCCCATTGACACATCACAATTTTTTATTGGACAGAACCCAAGCAGCAGAAAAGAGTCATATCTCTTAGTTGCTGGGTCTGACAACATATAACAATACACCCTGAGGAGATCAGGCAAGAGAGTCACATTACTTAGGTGATGGGTTCAGATATGTTATAATGCCCCCAGGTGAGCAGGGCTAAGGAGCAAGAGAAAAGTCACATAAACTAGAGCCCGGGCCAAGCTATATGTCGCAATCACTCCAGTGGGGAGCACCGAGGTATGAGAGGAGAGTCACATCACACAGGAGCTGGACCAAGCAATATGTAGCAATCTCCACTTTGAACAAGTCTGAAAATAAGAAGGGTCACATCAACTAGGTGATGAACCCAGAAACATGTCAAAATCATTCCTATGAGGAACATCAGGTAGAAAAATTACATCATGAGTGCTGCGCTTAGTGATAAGTCATTATCCCTTCTGTGGGCATGGTCCAGGCAGAAGGAAAAAGTCACATTGTCTCGGTGCTGGGCCCAAAGTTATGTCACAATATCTTCCATGGAGAAAGCCTAGGCAAGACAGAAGAGACACATCAAATAGTTGATGGGCCCAGAGGTATATCACAATGCCCTTGTGAACGGGGTCCAGGCAGAAGACACAGCAACCTGCTGTTGGGACCAGCAATATGTCTCAATGCTTTTTGAGCACAGGGCCAAGGCAAAAGAGCAACATCACCTTGGTGTTGGGCTCAGTGATATGTCACAATGCTCCCCATGGGCAAAACCTAGAAATAAGAGAAGACTCACATCGGCTAGGGGCTGGGGCTAGCAGTCTCTTTCAATACCCCCCTGTAAGCAGAAAACAGGCAGGAAAAGAGAGTTAGGTCACCTGTGTGATGGGCACAGAGATGTGTCACAATCCTTTCTGTAGATAGGACCTAGGCAAGAGAGTTACGTTAGACCCAGCAATATGTCACAGTGGTCCATGTGGGCAAGGCACAGGCAGGAGAGTCACATAACCTGGTTATGGTTCCCCTATGTTAGGTGCAGTAATATGTCACAGTGCTCCCTGTGAGGAGCGCCAAGGCAGGAATAAATTTACATCACCTAGATCCTGGGTTCAGTGATGTGTCACAATCCAGTCTGTGGACTGAGCCCACGCAGGAGAGTCAAAAAACTCAGGTGCCGGACAGAGGCGTATGTCACGATCACAGCTACAGGAAGGTCCATAAATGAGATTAACCATCCTGCACATGTTGAGGTTCCAGGTATGAGAATTAACATCTCCTTTATGTTGGATCTATGTTCTGGAGTCGCAGTCTCAACCATGGACTTGATCTGTGCATAAGACCTTCAACCCGTCCTCTAGACTATGTGTTCTTAGTGGACTCACAGTCTCTCAAGTCTCAGGTATGCTCAATCTTGGTCTGAGAGTCACCAGCCTACCTGTAGACTTGATTCAAGAATGAAAGTCAATTTTTGGCCGGGTGTGGTGGCTCATGCCTGTAATCCCACCACTTTGGGAGGCCAAGGCGGGTGGATCACCAGGTCAGGAGTTCAAGACCAGCCTCACCAACAAGGTGAAACCCCGTCTTTAAAAAAAAAAAAATAAATAAATAAATAAATAAAAATAAAAAAGGTCAATTTTTCAACTTTTGAAACATTATTATTATTATTATTATTATTATTATTTTGAGATGAGGTTTAGCTCTTGTTCAGGCTGGAGTACAATGGCATGATTTTAGCTTACCACTACCTCAGCCTCCTGGGTTCAAGCAGTTCTCGTGCCTCAGCCTTCTGAGTAGTTGGGATTACAGGTGTGTGCCACCATGACCAGCTGATTTTGTATTTTTAGTAGAGATGGGGTTTCTCCATGTTGGTCAGGCTGGTCTTAAACTCCCGGCCTCAGGTGATCTGCCTGCCTCAGCCTCCCAGAGTGCTGCAGTTACAGGTGTGAGCCACCATGCTGGCCTTTTTTGTTGGTTTTGAGATTCCGAATCTCAACAGCGGGCTGCGGAAGGATGATAATCATTATTGCCAGCTGGGTCTGCATATAAGTGTCACACTCTCACCTATGTGTTGAGATGTGTTAGGACATTTTCTGTCCTACTTGAGGGCTTTATACTGTATGCATAAGATTTGCAATCTAGTCTGAGACCTTTATGCTGGTATGGACCCATGATCATACCTCAGGTACGAGAGTAAACATGTCTCCAGTTGGCTGAATCTAGATAAGAGAGTTCTATCTGCTATGAGCTGATTTAGAAATGTTTTACCACTTCAACTCTGGCTGGATATTCACATATGACAGTCAC